TAGCGGCGCTCCTGCCCTTAAACCCCAGAACAGCGCCACCGCCTGGTCGAACACACGGCCCAGTACCTTCTTGGCCTCCACGTGCTGCGCCAGCTTCTCGTAGCACTCCCCCAGCGCCACCAGCATGCGCGAGTCGTTGGGCCTGCGGGACAGACGCACTGTGACAGGACGCGGGGGTTACAGGGCGCGGGGCGGCCGGCCCACACGGGCGCGCGGACTGACCTCAGCTGGTGCGCTCGGCGGTAGTAGTACAGGCAGTAGAAGGGCATCTTGAGGATCTCGTAGGTCTGTCCCAGCCCGTACCAGGCCCGGTAATCCCTCTTGTTCACCTCGATCGCATGCCTGCAAAAATCAACACGTCTGTGTTACAGGTGCGCACTGGCGTCGCCCTCAGAACAGGGGAGCTACCCACCCACCACCCCTCTTCTCATCGCCTCATGCAGCACCGGGTCGCAGGGTAGCTGGAGCCTATCCCAGCAGGCAACGGGAGCAAGCCTGGGAACACCCTGGATGGGACGCCAGTCCATCGCAGGGCACACGCAGACACAGACCCGTGCACTCTCACACCAGGGCTCATTTTTCAAGAAGCCAATTAACCTACAAGCGTGCCTTCAGACTGAGGGAGCACCTGGAGGAAAGCCAAGGGACCATGGGAAGAACATTCAGACTCCACACAGATGTGCAGAGTTCTATCTGTTAGGTAACATGTGTGATATGTGGGTCCGTTTTATAGATGTGCTGTACAGTATTACCTGTACTGCAGGTGTGTCTTACCTGTATTAGAGTTGTGCTGTACAGTATTACCTGTACTGCAGGTGTGTCTTACCTGTATTAGAGGTGTGCTGTACAGTATTACCTGTACTGCAGGTGTGTATTACCTGTATTAGAGGTGTGCTGTACAGTATTACCTGTACTGCAGGTGTGTATTACCTGTATTAGAGGTGTGCTGTACAGTATTATCTGTACATTACCTGTATTAGAGTTGTGCTGTTCGGTATTATCTGTACGCCAGGTGTGTATTACCTGTATTAGAGGTGTGCTATAGTGTATTATCTGTACGCCAGGTGTGTATTACCTGTATTAGAGGTGTGCTGTAGTGTATTACCTGGACTCCAGGTGTGTATTACCTGTAGGCCTGTATGGCTGCAGACGTGTTCTTCATCTCCATGTACTCATGGCCCATGAGTGTCCAGGCACCCAAGCAGCGTGGGTTCAACTTCAGTGCTCTCTGGAAGTACAGCGCAGCCTTTTCATGCTGTGAGCGCAGACTGTAGTAGTTACCTGAGAGCAAGAGAGCACTGTCAGGACCCTCAATGAATCCCACCACCTAGACCCGTGTGCAGGGCTAGAGTGAACCTTGCCCTCTCTCCCTCACACCTGTCCAGACCAGCCCTGGGTGTTCTCTGGAGCACACTCACCGATGACACAGCAGGTCTCCACACGGTACTTGTCGATCTCACACAGGTTGTGAGCCAGATAGCTCAGCTCTGGTTTCATACTCTGGCAAAAGGTAAAAGAGAAGGATCAGAAGGTTCCAACCCTGACAGTGAAAGCAATTAATAACAGTAACGACAACAACACCAGGGCAAGGAGAGGCACATTCTGGTCTTTCATGCTGCAGACAGTAGAGTCTAGTGTTAAGTCTGATGAGGCTGTAAGGAAAAATAAAGCTGAACGCTAAGGAGCCTCACCCTGACATACAGCAGGTTGGAGAAGGTGTCCATGTTCTCGATGCGATAGGGGTCCTGCTCTCTCAGCTCATT